GACCAAAAACTGGAAATAAGTTTGGTTGGTAAAATCTTTGCCTCTTTGAATTCTACGACCTAATCCCTTTTGATCACGAGAGGATGAGTTTACCTCACCTTAGATGATTTTATTACGGCCTTGTATAAAACTTTGGCTGCTGACATTATAAGCAACCCCTAATGTTTAAACCCCACGGTAAATAATTACTACAATCCTACTTCACTCCTCTAGCATTCCTACCATTTCCGTGTTAGATAGGGCTCCGAAAATAGGGGATGAAGCCTAGGTCACGCTGATCTCTTTGAGCAGCCATACCAAATAATTTACAAATGACCAACTCTTAGGCTTAAAAATGGCACAGCAAATGTCCTATATGATTTTATTTTATTAACATAGTAGCTAAGTGCTTTCCTCATATCTTAGCTCCATATACAGCATAGGTCCTCAGTATAATGAATGGGGTTAAGAGAGGAAAACTGGCAAACTGATGACCTATTTCTGAGACTGTGACTGGAGGCAAGATTATTTTAGATGAGAATTTCAGATATGTATATAGGCATCTTATCCTTATGGAATCTAAGATAGGCTTATGATTTCTATTGCCCAAACAACCTGTAATCTTTTAAAAGGATTTTCTCTCATGAACTTCCTTTCTATATGTGGAGAAACAAGAACAAATAGATATGAAATTACTTATCTTGAGTAAAGGAAAAATGTGGATAACTTTGGAAAGAACTGCACATAGGTTTTTTAAGATCCAGTCCAGCACTCCAGCTCCTAACCTCTGATGCCCCCTTCTGAAAAAGCAACTTATTGTCAGATGTGCTGATCATCCAGATATCTCCGCCACTGAGCTGCATTTGATCCGATGTCTCACTATATTAGCCTGACACAAAGTCAACTCTAAAATTTGTTTTGGTTCTCCTATTTGGGATTTAATAGCCTTATATTACAAAACTATTCTATTCCCTAGTCCCGTAGTCCTGCACATTCAGATTTGCAGCAAATCAAGCAGGAGCAGATTCAGTTATATGGAGCAGTTACCATATAACCCCATTTTATTTCCAGAGTATTGCCTATCCTATGTACTAAAAGGAGACGAGGTCCTGTGTAAAAAAAAAAAAATCTAGCCATTAAATTAGAAGTTATATTGAAATACGCACCAGTAGATGAATTTGAGACACTTCCTAACTCCACATAAACCTGTTTTCTTGACTTCACAAAGGTAATTTTCAAACATTTTAAACAATTTTCTTTAAAAAAAGTCTACTTAATAATAATAGTTACACACAACTATACCACCTCCCTTCCACTATATGATCATAAGGCTTTATTTTGGAACTTCAGTAATGTAGTGTTGAACTTCATCATCTGAATTAAAATATAGGAATATAGATACAGAAATACAATAGAAATTCAGCTGTTGGCTTCAAAACTCCCCCTCCGTGGACCAGGTATAAAACTCCAGAGACTGCTACTTAGGGTCAGTGGAAGTGGTCTACATTTACATGAACACCTCATTTTACAAAGAGCAGGGTAAAGCTTTTGGCAGATTCTTTCGGAGAAATCATAACGCTCCCAGATTTTGCCTACATGCATGTATTATACTAGCGAACTAGATTCTTTAAAAAAAGAAAATACTTTAAAAGGACATAGAATTAACAGTAGTGGTCAACAGTTCCAGCAAAACTGGAACTCATGTACCATTTCTTGGTTCCCAGTACAGTCCCCATCTAAGTTACCACCTTTCCCTGAATTGGTGATGAGAAGCAACTCTGTCAGTTCTGAGTTAGCCAAGCAGAGCTGGAAGGTTGTGGTTGTTGACAGCCTTCAACTTGGACCAATCCAAACATGTTCTTGAATGAAATGAAAAGCAACTTTATAAATTCCAGGATGATCCTACTGACAAATTTTAGGCTGCAAAACGCTGAGCTGCTACAATGTTTTTGTAATGGAGAGTCTTAGTGAGATCTAAATAGAGCTAGAAATACCATTCTACCACTGATTCTATAATTTTTTGACTCTTAAGAAAACACAATTGTTCATTTTCACAATCTAAAAGTCTGTGACGGGTCCAAGTGTACACTCCTGCCCCTCAGTGAAAGAAGACTGGTAACTGATAGAGAAGGGACTGGAGTTGCTCAGCATTCACAGACGAATGTGTTTTCTGTGATTTGGTTACTCTGGTGATCAGTCAGGATCAGTGGAAGCGCAGAAGAGTATACAGAAATTGATTCACCAGTTAGTATGTACTAGAAAGAAAGCATCTATTAAAGAAGTAGGAAGTTTTGCCCACGACCTTCTCTTTCTTGCTTATCTTTTCACCTACTTTTTAAGGCAACAGACAATGCCCCTTTTTTTCAAGGTTCACATTCAGGGCTGATGTCTGCAAATTGTTTTCTTGTCCTCAGATAAATTGACATTGGTAAGATTCAGCTCCGAAGGCATTACAACCAGATATCAACTGCTTGACGAAAAGACACTTACCCCAACACCACAGTACATTATCATGGGCTGTCTTGTACATATATGCTTTATATACACTTTATAGTTTCAGCATGCTGATAGGAACCTGACTTCATTTTGGTTTAGCTCCCTTTCGTTGGGATTGCTCCCAATCATATCAATACATTTGCCATCAAACCTACAGTTGGATTTGCTAACTAAAATGTTATTTCTTTGTCTATATTCTTAAATAGACAACAATTACAAAGAAAAATAATCACCTTTTGAAAAATATTTGTTTTGTTAACTAAGCCGTTCGACTGAGGAAAGTAGATCTCTATCAACTATAAAGGACACAAAATGAGTCTTGCATGTTACAGAGAAACATGATGAGAAGGACTCAGCAATTTTAAGAATAGGTGAATGGTAATCTCTGGAGGAGACCAAACTAATTGGACTGTGCAGATCAGTTCTTGGAACCTGTCCTGTGGAAGATTCGTCAGACATATTGTTGAGTTGATTATAGCTCTGATTAATGTTTCCAACTGTCTTACAGTGAAAATGGATTTTCCTCAGTTTATTTTCAATCCCAGGCCTTGGGAAAAGAGCAGGCTGTCCATGGGGCTTCAAATAAGACTGAATTCAGATACTGAAAAACAAGGACCTCTTTTTTTTCTGAGATACAAAGCCAGTACTAAGAGGCTTTTTTGGGAAGAGAATGGAAACTTTAGTGCAACAGAAAAGGAAAGACTTTTCCCTATGGAGGAATCTTTAACAACACAGAAATCTTTCCTGTCTATTGTCCCTGCAGTCTTAGGAAAGAGCACATCACTGAGGTAAAGCACTCTGAGCAAACCTTTAGCTTCAGACAAGAAAAATTAAGCTTACCCATACTTAACTCTAATTTTCTATCATCTTGTCTTTCTTACATCTCTCAACATTTAGAACGGATAGAAGATTTTTGGTGCTTATGTAGCTAAAAACAAAAACACCACACCCTTCTGCAAAACCTTGAAAACACTTATTCTCTCCTCTGTACTTCACATACTTGTCCTTCCTCTGCCCTTTCCCCTCTTTATTGTCCTTAAAGAAAATAAAAGTAAACTTTAAAATCTAATTCTTTTGACATTACGGCTAGAATGGGCAGCCAAAGTAAGAGAAAGTGAAATATTTACACAGTATCAAAAATTAAGAAAAAAATGTTTTAAAAAATCTACCTAGCCAATGGCTCAAAATAGGAAAATCAGAAATAAAAAAATTAATTACTTCTGCCAGTTTCTGAAGATATTGTGACTGGCAGCTATACGATATTTTGTGCTTCACTTGCAAGATATCTTTCATTCATATATTTAAAACCTTGCCTCAGATTCTGAGTCAATCAAGTAAACAGCACGCTCATGCCAGGTTCAGGATTTCTCTAGGTAGCTATGCAAATAATCTGTTGTCACTTACATTCAGAACAGATACACAAAATAAAGACTACTGATAAGAAGTTTCTAGACAGCTAAAAAAATATCCTGCCCTTTTTCTACAATCATCATTTTGGTAAGAGAGCAAAGAGCTGTAAAGATGTAAAACAGTAAAATATCTCTTCTTTTTCAGATGAAATCTGCTTCTCTTTTTTCTATATATCTCATGGAAGAAGAAAAAAGATGCCACTCTCTATCAACCTGGATTTCACTGCTTGGTTTTCATGGAACAGAAGCTTCCTGTCAAGATCTTCTCCCCCCATTACAATCCTAGAAATCTAGATTTTTCCTTTCACATCATGAGATCAAGCATGTGAAGTGAAACTCTCTGTTTTGCCCCATCTTAAAGAACTATTTCAATTCCAGAGCATCTAATGCTGCACAGCAGCAGTTCGCCAGTGAAGAGAAAAAGAATTCAGCTTTGATCAAGTGGAGATACAAGCTCACGCATACGAGCAATCCAATCATGGACTGAAATTGTTAGTTTGGCCTTGAAATATAAGTTGCAATTTCTTGCATCCTAATACTCTGTATTGTTCATGTCCAAAGTGTTAACTGGGTATTTAATTCCATTTATGACCTTATGAGAGGCAAGGCACGCTCTAAATCCTTGGCTCGTTTTTAAGCATTGGAGCTGGGATCTTCAATGCAAACAGATGCTCAGTAGGATATTCTTAATTGTCTAGGTCTAATTCCCACTGAAATTTGAATATCTTAAAAATCTGTCTTGTGGCTCTACTACAGAGCTAAACATGACCAACAAAATTCTTACTTTTAAGTACCAATGCAATTCTAACATTTTATCATAAGAAATTGTTATAAAATGATATTCAAGCATTTTCAAGCTCAGACTACAAACTGGCACCATTTCATATCCCTGAAATTTTGAAATGACTTATGCTGTTCTATTTCACAAATTGAATACTTGTTAGTCAGAGAGATCCCTTCCTTTCCGTCTATTTACTTTGGTTATAAAATAACTCCCAAGTATTGTACCATATAGTGACATATAGTTTAAAACAGGACCTTTTCTACAGACTTTTAAACAGTATTATGGAGGATTTTCTATCCTAAAATTCCTATAATCATAATTTTTCTGAATACCTGAAAAAAACCCGGTGGTACAGGACCTACTGGCATGCCATCTCCTGGGGGAATGTTTCCTAGCACTGGACTGGGAGCTGCTGCAGCACTCTGAAAAGAACAAAGGGAAAATAAACCTTTGTCATTGCATGGTAGGCACAAAACCCCCCCGCCAAAAAAACCCAAAAAACCTGCTGTGACCAAAATGCAGAAAGCAATTCTCTGGATATGGCATAATATCATTGTTTCATCTAAAGGTAAATGAAAATTGTATAATGTTTAGTCTTATTTTATACAAGTGTAACGATTTGTTAAAGATCACAAGTATACATTGAGGGGAAGGATGCTAGAGATTGCATGGATATACAGATATGTATTGATTAGATAGATCTTGACTAAATAAAAGAATGTATCTGAGACTGTATGTCTATATATACACAAATGAGCCTGTAACTTGCACACTTTTGCTTTTATTATGTGAGTACAAACATCCCCACACATGCACACTCATATATATGTAGGATAAAGAAACTAATTTATGCATTTTACCAGCAACTTCCAAGCACTTTAAAGATAATTTCAGCAGACTGTAATATTCTTTCAGAATTATATCAAGCTTCAAAACAAGGTTCTGTTACTAGCAGCACAAGAGGAGTGCTCACGACTCTACGGGTAATGTTCATGATTCTACCAACCCCCAAAATAACCACCATGACAAATTAGAAGAATTCAGGTTACATTTTTGGAAAGGAAAAGAAAAAAGGATTTCTAAGTGAATCAGAGGATGAAATGAGTTACCTTTCCAAATCTTTCAGTTGGAATAAGCAAGTAAAGAATATTGCTTCTGGCAATTTATAAGCAGGAGATCGTCACAAAAAGGGAAGCCAAATCGTTATTGTTGCCATGTATTGGAACTTCAATTACTTTTGATTTCTAGCAGCCTTCCTTCCTGCAATATGTTTCTGTTAGGGCATAAGGCTGAATGACCTATAAAGACTCAAAATATTTGTGGAAGTATTCATGCACACACAATGCAAAGAGAGACACTTGCAATTCACTAACAATCTCCCAATATCTGCCCTACCGAATATGAATGACTTATGTTCATTAACTGATCACTTCATTGTATCACACTTGCTATCCAAAAGATGCAGATCTGTAAACTATATTCCCAGGTATTTGGCACACTGTCTAGGAAATTAAAGAATAATGCTGGAAAGATTTGAAAACTGGCACAAAGACGGACTGACCTTTTTAACTCAAACAAAAAGGAAATATTCAGTTAATTACCACAGATTTTTTCAATGGCTTAAACTGTGCTTTAGAATCAAATTTTTGAACAACTACCAGTAATATATTTAGCATCTATACTGTATGTCCTTTTCAAACAAAAGTCCAGAATGCACCATAAAAGTATGAAGACTGTAAAAAGTACTGGCTTCAGTACTGATTTCGAGAGTTTGATTCACTAGAAAACAGACACCATTAGTGTAATAAAGGACACTCTTATTTACGTGAAGATCCAGTCTTTAAGATTAGTGTTAAAATATTGTATAATTGCAATTGACAGAAAAAGTCAGTCACAGGAATTGGAGGTAGCAACCACATTTGAATCATAATACCTTTTTGTCAGGGACTACCATAAACCAATGAAGCTATTCTGTAAAGCTGCAGAAAATAAAGATGCTAGATATGGGCTAGTAATGGCTATTCCTTGAACCCTGCCTGAGGTTCATGGGACTGGAGTATCATGCAGCTTGACTGCATGGAAAAGCATACTACTAGATGGAACATCTCGGGTCCTTCTCTCAGATCTGTGGCACTGACTTGGACTCCCAGACAGAGAGGAAAATAAGAAAGTGGCATGAATGCACAGAAATAACTCTCAAAGAACGATATAATTTTGTTATCTTCTCTTCTGCATGGCTTCTGTGTTTGTCCACTAATTACTTTTAGAATAGCTACATTTCCAAAGGAGAACGGATGAGCAAGTTTGGAGGCTTTTTAAGCAAAAAATGGACTTAGTAAACTGAGCAGCAGACCATAACGTCAAGAAAAATCACGAACAGGAGCAGAAACAGTTTGAGTGAAGTATCCTGGATCCTGCTTCCAGATGTAAGGGTTTTCTAGATAAAGAATGACAACAGTAACATCACCGATGGAAAAAATCAATGATGTTAAAAGTCTGAGCACCTTAAGAAGTCCAAAATACTCTGCAGTATAATCTCAGACTACGAGGGAGCAGCCCTTTAAAGAGGTATTAATAATGATGAACCTGATTACACCATTATCCCTCCTTGCATCCTAATGCCTTCTTGTCCCTATGCTACCTCAGCTGTGTCTGCCTTTGATGGTCATATATGAAGCACTGCAGTTCGTCCAACACAGTTGGTGTTACAGAATAAAAGTATGTGAAGACACTAAAACGAATCACTGGGCAAACATCTCAACAGTATTAAGTCAGATACATCAAATGCAGTAGTAAGTGGAGAGACTGCAAAAAAAAAAAGAACTAAGCAGCATCTCCTTTGATATACGACCAGTTTTCAGAAGCCTCCCACCCCAAGTACCACATTCCTGTTTTTTAGATTATATTAGGCGTTAATGCCTGTCAGAGTGCCTTAATGCCCAATGGGAAATGGTTCTCAGATGTCCTTCTCAACTGAGGCCTCCGCCAGACTCTGCAGGTTACGAAACAAGATTTGTATGAGAAGGAGAGAATGACTTCTTGCAATACAGTGTTGCTATAGGGATAAGGGGATCTGCCCCAGTAGAGCTCCCTCTTGTTTTCCACACTTCACAGATCACTTCAAAAGGGATAGAACAGAACAGAACAAAAGAAAAATGGTTAAATGTACTTAACAGTAAAGAAAAGAAAAGGGGGAGAGAGGGAGATGATTATTATTCCAAACCGGGGTAGGGGGGGAGTAGAATGTAATTATATTTGTACATTTTCTGTTAGCTATTAAACCTACCTAACAAGGCTTTATTTTAAAAGATGCCTACAGATAACATTTTGGTAATTAAGTCTCAACATTTTAAAAATATGTTTTGATTACAATTTTTTAAAATCTGTCTCAGCAATGATACCAGTGGAATCCAGCTTCACTCTTCAGTGAACCTGAGGGAATCGCACACGACTCTCACGGCCTGCTAAAGCAGCGGCTGTAATAGTAGAAGTCATGCAGAACAATTCTTTGTCTTCAGATCTAAAGACACAGTAATGAATGAACATAATGTTATCATCTCATGTATTTCTAGATGTCAAGAAATGTATTACTTTTGGAGATGCTGCCACTATCGATTCCTATGAAGGGAGTATTGCTCTAAAGTAAACGTGGTTTAGGAGGAATGGTTTTTGTGTGACTTTATTAACTGAGAAGACATAGAGGGGTGCCTGATAAAGCAAATATGTGGGGTTGGACAGCTTCTATGGCCTCCTCAGAAAGCTTGAGGATTGAAGTGCCATTTTGAAGAGCTGCTCTGAAGGTGGCCAAAAGATCTGAGCAGCCCAGTGATAAACAGCACAGCAATAAAACCGAGGTTGGCCAAAGGGAATTCTTTGTGATGCTGAAGGGGAAGGTAAAGCAGGATCTTGTGGAAGTGATTACACTGCAAGTGATCCAGACAAAATTATATAATTAATCTCCATTCTAGTGGTTTCTGGAGAAAGGATCATAATTAGAAGGGAACCAGCTCTTTGCTTCATGCTAGTTACTAAAATTGAAATTAATTTATTTTATGATGTTGGTCATTTTTTGATTGCAGACCATGATGTTTCAGGGAGGTACTGTTCATTTTAATTAGCTTAAATTACCTGAGACTTGATTACATTGTTTAGTTTACAGATCATCTCTTATCCATGTTTCTGGGGGTGGGAAGGAGGACAGAATGATATGAAGTTTGAGTTGCCACAATAGTAAGCCAGTTTTGCCATACCTTGCTAAACGGTGGTAATTGAGCCCTGCGTGGTAATTGTAAGAATTTTGCAGGCATTCCACAACAATTTAGTCTTAGGTGTTGGTGAAACTACAATTTCTACCTCTCATTATGTAACCTACTGTAACATTTGTTTCTATTTTCATGTTTGTAGGTTTGGGATATTTTTCCCCAATGGGCAATGAAGTCCCAGGAAGAGAAATAAAGCGTCTTCAGCATTTTAGGTAGATTATGTTTTCTAGTCTATACTGTATGATGAACGTTTTTGAAACTAATGCTAGGTAGATCAATAAACAAACCTGCAACAGCTGCGCTGAAACATTCTTATTTAGTCTATTCTGATGAATTATTCAGTTCTCCTTTCACAGTCCCACTGCAAACCATAGCTTCTTTTTGCATGCATTACAAGTTGTTCATCATTCATATTTCCATTAGTTTGACATTTTAAATATTTGCAACTTGCTTCCCCTGCTTTTCATAAAAAGATGAAATAGGAAAATTTAAATTGTTTAATCGCTTTATACAAGATTTCACCTCCTTAAAAATGGAAAACTTTATTTGCTTTTCTGTCTAAAATATTGAGGTATCTCTTTACAATTGTTAATTAAAACAGTCTACCTGAATAAAAACTATCAAGAACTTTTATTAATTTATCCAAGCACCCTAGACAATGCAAAAACATATGTTTATATCCACAAATTAAAACTGGTGCCTGATAAGTAGCTACTAATAGCCAAGTTTCAGGCTGTTTTTTACCAATAAAGAAACTGCAAAATAAGTAATAAATAAAAATACAAAGAGGCTGGTTATTCCATTAATTTAGTATCTGCAAATATTGGAACCACATACAAAAATCTGCAGAGCAACTTGCAAAACACAGGTCATTTTCTGAAGCTATCATAATAAATGGTTTGTGACAGAGGCTCACAGAAAGAATTCTGTATGCAATCAAAATGTTCTACAAAGAAAGGACTTGAGTTCACCCATAAAAATCTTACTTTGGCTCTTTCACTAATCTGGGCATTTAATTTTAGATATTTTGTTTTGAGCAAGACATTCTTATTTTTACCCAAAGTAAGAAGTTTAACAGGAGTTACCATTTTTTCCCACAAAAAGGCAATCTCCAGTTTTTTAAACCTCTATTTGAAACAGATGAGAGAAACTGGACCTCA